GTTCATTTAATGAACAAGAGCTGCTGTGTCACATAACTTGACATAAGACAGACCGACACAGGGAACATCTTGTTCTTCTCTTTTCCTTTGGTTTGTTTCTGTTTTGTTTGTTTGTTGTGTTTGTGTTTCCCCGTGACTGATCGTGTTGCGTCTGGAGCGAAAAGAAGGAGCTTGACGTCAGCATGTGGGAGTCGAGGGTGAAACAATCCTTTTGACACGGTATTGCTTTAGTTTAATTAGGTTAGGGATTTACGCGCTGCGCTTGTGTTTGGTGTGCGTGGTTGACGTACGCGTCCGCCTGCGTAGTTCTGTAGGAATTTTGGATGAAGCGTTGGATCTGACCGCAGATCTGTGCACGGCGCTTTTTCTACATCCGGTTTACAATTGGGCTCTTCTGCATGCTGCTTGGTTGAGTAACAGATTCATTGTCAAACAGGGTACAACAGCTTTTGAAAAAACTTCAGGCCGTACACTGGCACGCTTTGCGTGTTTGGCGAGAGTGTGTTAGGGTATATCAAACCTGATCGAAAAGGAGCTCCAAGGTGGTGCAAAGGCATCTGGCTGGGCAAAGCATTGACCAATGACACCCACATCATTGGTTACAAAGAAGGCATTTTTGTGACCCGCAGTGTGCGAAGGTTGCCAACTGCTTTCGTCCTTGAGGACCTTGGTGATGTGACCACGAGCCTGTGGGAATATGAATATGCAGCGCTTGGCCACGGAATGATGTAAAACAGACATCTTTCTCCACCTTTAGCTCTTGGAATGCCAATGATCGATGTTGAGGCCATCCAGGTCAGGAAGTATGCGGCTGACAACCCAAACGAGGATTTGGAACAAGAGCCTGCTTCTCAGGCGGGGCAGGAGTCAGTTTTGCCTCCAGCTCAAGCTGGTGATTCAGCTGATGCTTCAACCTCTGAAAGCTACAAAAGGCCTGATCAAGGTGATGCAAGCGAACTTGCAGATGCAAAGAAAGCTCGCATTGGTGAAGAACAGCCAGTTACACCGCCAATGGACGATGCCATGGACTCTGTTGAGGAGCGTTCTCCAAAAGCTCCCAAACTGGCAGAATCACCAAAGCAACAGATGATGCAGGTCACAAGCACAGACCTGGAGCTTTACGAACATGAAGATGCTGCAGTTCAATTCAACTTTGAAGATGCTAACCTTGACAGGTTGGAGCAGTACGAGTTTGAATTCTACGATGATGAATTTCTGGCTGAAGGTGAATCAAGTGAGATCCAGGATGTTGAGATGGCCCGCATTTTGCAACAGCTGACATTTCCTTTCAGCTTGAAGGAGCCCAGCTTGTCAGCTGATGAGATGATGCGCCTTGACCCTCTTGCAGACCAATTGGAGTTACAGCGTTTGCAGAAGCTTCATATGCTGCAAAGCCCTGAGTCCGTGCCAAGCAATTTCAAAGTGCTGAACACGAGAATCGTGCGAACTTGGCGCGAAAAACATGATGACAAGGGCAATCCAATTTGGTTGAGGCGTTCGAGGGTTGTGGCCAGGGAGTTTGCTTGGTTGGAGCCTGAGCGAGAAAGTTTGTTTTCGCCAGCCAGTGGATCAATCATCAGTCGCATCTTGCCCACCATTTGGAAATGCGTGGCCAGCTTGGATGTCAGAGATGCATTTCTTACAGTGAAACAAGAGTGCCCAACGCTGGTTCACACAACTGACGCTGGTGGAAATGTGAGGAGCTTTGCATTGGGTCGAGTTTTGCCTGGACAACGTGATGGCAGCTGGTTGTGGTACAAAGCCATCACAAACTACTTGAAGACGACCCTTGACCTTGAAGATCATGCTCCTTATCCTTGCGTCTTGAAATCCAAAGACAACCGCTGCATTGTTATGATTCATGTGGATGATTTGCTTGTTGCAGGGCGTAAGAGTTTTGTCCTTGGAAAGTTTGCAGCAGAGCTTCGCAAGGCCTACGACATCTCAATGCAGGTCATGGAAAAGCCTGGTGACGAGATTACGTTTTTGTAACGTTTACATGTCCTTCACCATGATGGCCGCATGACAAATCAGACTCACTGGATCAACACATCAACCAATTGTGCTCACTGCTTGGGATGAACCCCAAGAACCAAAACAAAAAGACGCCTGCACATTCAGACATCGATCGTGAAGATACAACAGAGAATTTGGCTGATGATGTTGCAACAACTTTCAGACCGTGCGTTGGTATCCTGATGTATCTGGCCAATGATGTTCCACATTGTCAATACGTCATTCGTCATTTGTCAACATACAGTTCAAAGCCGACTCAGAAAAGCTTGACAGTTTTGAGACATTTGGTTGCGTACCTTGCGAGCCACAGTGAAATCTCAGTGTCATTGAAGTGGTGCGGCCGCAACAGTGGAATCTATCATGGATACCCTGACATCAATCAAAGTGACAATGTGCTGGAGGTGTTTACTGACAGCGACTGGGCAAGCGACAGACAGTCGCGCAGGAGCGTTTCATGCTGCGTGATGTTCTATGGAGGTTGCATGTTGTTTTCAGCTTCAAGGACTCAGAAAATTATCAGTTTGAGCTCAGCTGAAGCAGAGGTCTATGCAAGTAGCGGTGGATGTTCAGATGCAATTCTCCTTTCAAGAATGCTTGCTTGGTTGACTGGTCGTCGTACAATCATTGTTGCATACACTGACAGCAGCGGCGCAAAGGGCATACTCCATCGTCAATGAGTGGGCCGTCTGAGACATTTGAGCTGCAGGATCCTATGGCTGCAGTCATTGATTTCAGCTGGCACCATCAGACTTTGCAGCGTGAGTGGAAACATCAACCCGGCAGATATCGGGACAAAGTGACTTTCTGCACCAAGATTGAAATCACCTATGGCCGTGTTAGGGCTTTACAATCGAAACACCGGAGCACTTGAAGGCAGTGATGATCCTGGGAAGGTCTTCATCAAGCGCTACAATGTGCGCGCTCTTCTTTGCGCCTTGAGCCTACTGAATTTCCAGGGTTGTGATGGATCAGATTCAACTTCAGGTGATCAAGGACTTTTTGTCTTCACTTGTCTTCTTGGCACTTTCATGATGCTGCCATTGGTGTTTTCATGGTTTGGTTGGTTTGCAACAAGTGCGACAGAGCACGAGCCTGAGGAGATCATCCCGTTGGCAAGTGGTTCAAGTGGAAGTGCTGACCCTGGTTTGCACGATACATATGACAGCCCAGCAGAGCCCACAATTCCAGTCCCGTCCATGCTTGGGAGCAGCAATGACCGTGCCAACACCGGTGCAACTGGCTCGAACGAGCCTATGCTAGATGCTGGAGGACGAGACTCTTCAAGCATGCCGAGATTTGAAAGTGCAAGGGACCTTCCACTTCCAGGAGATGCATGGCCCCCAGAGGCAATGTTGACTTGGATGTATGAAAGATGCATGCATCGCCACGAAGCTGCAACAACTGATGCACGAAGGACTCTGTATGCCGAAAGGCTTGGTGTTTTGCGTGTTGTGATGAGAGAATATCGAAGCGACAATGAAGAGCTTCGATTTGCAGCGAGCGAAATGACTCGTACAATGAGTGACATCTCATCCGACGAGGAGTCACCAAACAATGGCTTTTCTGCAGTTGACATGTGTGCAGTTTTGGATGATGCTCAGAGAGCTGTGAACATTGGAGCCCAATTGGTCGAAACTTTGGGAGCAACTTCAAGCAGCACTCCAGCTGCAAGCTCACACGTGAATGCAGTTGCAGATGCCATGATCAACATGTTGGCATCGACTGGAGAAGAAGCAGCTGAAGAACAAGAAATGCAAACTGACTCAGATGTCGAAATGGAGACTCAATCAGAGCGTGGCCGACGTTACATGGCCAGCGAAATGTGTGAGGTGAGTGATCCTGAGGAGTGGATGGCGTACCACCACGGTCAGAGCAGCACCAGCAGTTCCGAGCCTGAACCGTGAAGTGGGGTCCATCTACGAATTCATTCCAAAGGTAGTGTGAAGCCAAAGGTAGTCCTTAAAGGACATATGCAAGTGGTGGCACGGCAATGCCTGTCCCAGCGGCGTTACCTTTTGGCCACAAGTACGTTTTTTGCAATGTGCTAGGATGCAAGGATCTCAGTAGCAATTTGATGCCTTGTTGTCACAGTCATCAAGGCGGGGTGCAACATATTGACGCCTGTTGTACATTAGCAGTTGCATGTGGTGCATCCCATATCACATAGGATTTGATCAGGTAGCATCAGTTCTTATCGTGAGGCGCTTGTATCTCAAGCAAAAGAAACAGATTGACATGAAATTTAAGTTTGATACAAACTACATGGATGGGCGCATGTTGTTTTTTTTTGCGTGTTTTGTCACGGATGGCTTGACATGTTGTGGAACTAAATTCCCTGGACATTATTTCCGAGATAAACCAATCGAGGAAAGGCGAGATGTTAAAGGAATGCAGATGTGCAATTGCAACACATCAAATTTCTTCCAATTGGGAAAATTGGGGCAGCCTGTACGTGTTGTAGCCATGACATGGAAAAAGTAACAGTTGCGTTGTCCCACCATGGAATAATTTGAATTTATTTCTGGATGCAACTTGCAACCAAAACACCTTGGTTACAGTTAGCCATGGTAAAGGAGTAGAACGATACAAACAGCATCATTTCTTCCAAATTGAAGGGCCCACGGACTGATGAAGTGTTGAAATGTCGGTGCTTGCAATGATTTCAAAAGATGCGTGCGAATTCATGATATTCCTTTTGACAAGACTTGATTGAACATGGAAGCGCATGTAAAACATAGAAACATTTAGGTGTCTCCAAATTGTTTTCTGGCACGTTTGGCTAGCATTTTGCATTGGTTTAGCGTGGTTTCCCACGCAACAGTTTCAACCTCAGTCCGTTTGTTGCGAAACGTGGTTTCATTTTTTGTTGCAGTTTGCGATCTGTTGTTTTGGAGCGGGCGCTAACAGCCGCTAACAAATTGGACGATGTACTTTGAGGTTTTGTTTGTTGTTTCAACATGTGTGTTGTATGGCCCTGTTTGAAGGTTCTTCACGATGTTTAACTGCTGTGCCTTGGATTTCATTATTGTAGGTTCGGGAAAACCATAAATCCAAGGCGTTCAATTTTGAGAAACATTGCGCAAAACTGACAGGATCGGAGTTCCCAAGATTTGTTTTTTGCCCATGAAGATTATGTTTTCACCCATTTGTGTTGCCAAGTAAGGGGTGGTTTGCAGCAAGTAATGTTCGGTTTAAAACAATCGGAATTGTGCATTGGAGGTATTGAAAATGTTGTCGGAATTTCACTGAATGCGCACCGAGCGAATCTATGAACTGATGTGAGGTCAGGCAAATGCTGACAACCAGGCCGGACTATCCGACAAAGAAATGTGATTGCGCTGCAAAAACATATATGGTGAATGTTTGTCGTTTTGCCGTTAGAATTTCCGAAGTATTGCAATCACGTCCACACCCAAAATGTGTGCAGACAATTTTGGTATTTGACTTTGAATTGTGCGACTGTTATTTGTTTCGTTATTTGTTATGTTCTTGAATTTGTTTCGTTACACTGGGAGGTTCGCTAAAAAGGTCCCACCAAGGCTTCGAATCTATCCCAAGGCCGAAGTTGTAGATGCTACGCTTCCTCCAAGAAAGGTGGGGCGAGTGGGATTGAGTGGGCTTTGTGGCCAACAGAGCCGAACAAGTACGGTGGCAGAGTTTTGCTGTGATGCAGGAGGCCCCTTTTGGACAAGAATCCAGACCTTTGCACACGTGCCCTCTTGGCCTTCTCGGCCTTCTCGGCCCTGGTGTTTGATGGAGATTGGTGACTTTTGCGCGTTGCACGATCTAAGTAACATCTTGCTGTCACCTTGAATTTTTAAAATTGCATAGAGCTGCATAGAGTTGCTAGAATTGTTGTAACTTGTTGTGTATTTTCTTCGAATTCTGATATTCTCTGGCACGCTCTGGCGGATGATGATGGATGATGTGTCATGGTCCTTGCGGTCCTTGCGGTCCTTGCGGTCCTTGCGGTCCTTGCCAGGTATCCGAACGGGTCCACCTTCACTGGAGAGTGGCTTGGTCCCCATCGACATGGTCATGGCTTACAGGCCACCTGAGCCCTGCGACAGTTGCGACTCTAGCTGCTTTCGGATCGGATATCATCGGAATTCATCGGATCCCAGTCATCATGAGCAAATTTCGATGTTTTTCGAATATCCGCACTGATGCTTAAAAAAATCATTTGAATGAACCAACTCAAGCCTCTTCAAAAATCGTGGCAGTTCAACAATTCTCCGGCTTCAATTTTTTCCATTCAATGCCATTTGAGCCAAGAATTAATTTTGTGAATCTTCTTCGTGGTCCTCCTTTGCTTGCATTGTTCTTGCATTGTTCTTTCTCATGAGCATTCCGATGAGTTCAAAGTCAAGCACCATGGCAACACTTGAGTCACTTGAGGTGCAGTGTAGGTCATGTTTGGTATTCTCTGCATATTCGCATGCTCCATAAATTTCTCATGTTTTTTTTCAGTGATCCCTTTGTGAAACGCAGTGTCAGGTGTGGCCCGATGGTGCTCGATATGAAGGCCTGAGCTGAGCACATGCTCGATATATCTCGATATGGTGTTTTGTTCGATGCATATTTTGTGGATTTTGTGGACAGTCCTTGAAGTTTGCAAGAAATGTGCAGACATGTTGAACCATGTTGCACATTTGTTTCGCACCTTACGACGTCTCAACTTGTTGGGAAACTTGGGAAACTTTGCGGATTTCTGGGAAGCTTCATTTTTTTTTTTGATTTTTGCCGTTTCTGCCGTTCTGTTTGGAGAGGTCAGTGGGAGAATGACAAAGCTCATGGCTTTGGTCGTTTCGAACACACCGATGGAGACATCTACGAAGGAAACTGGTTAAACGACAAAGCTCACGGCAAAGGCTGGGACGGGACAAACTCACGCAGTCCAAAAATAAGGTCATGGAAAGGCACAATGTTGTCACATGTCAAAGGATGAAGCTTGGAAAAACAACAAGATAGCAGTAGGTCACTTCTCCTTCAGCTTTCAATGGTGGCTCTTAAATATGTTCAAGTTTTACATGGCTTGAAATTTGGAATGTTGCACTTTGCCTGATTGTGAACTGGAAACTATTGGCCAATTGCAGAGGCACCTACACTCATGCAAGTGGATCAAAGTTCAGTGGTGAGTGGCAGGACATTCTCCGATCATCTCTAATCATGTCTGATCGTCTCTGATCGACAGTAATTGGAGTCGGAAAGGTACAAAATGGATCAATATGGATCGAGCTGGATCGAAGTTTGTTGACACTTTTACACGGACTTGGGATGTTGTTTATTGAGTTTATTGTTTTTTTTATTGTTTGATTATTTTGATTTGTTTGTTTTTGCAAAGCTTTGGATCTGTGGCGATGCCGCGAGGACGACAAGCAGCACGGTTTTGGTGAAGAGACTTGGCCGGACGGAGCCAGATACGTTTGGAGCCACAGTTCACAGATGTTGACAGAATGTTGACAGATGCTCACAGTGCACGGCTCCGGAGCCTCCTGTGGATTTCGATGGATTTCCAATTGCAGTGAGAAGTTGTACTTAGAAAATCTGAGAAACATATCGTAGAGAAGCAACATGGATTTTGTTTGGGCTGGTTCTCAATACAAACAATTGTCCTGAAACAATTTCCCTGATTTGGCGGAGCTATGCTACAGACTTTCGCAAGATCGCAAACATGGTACACATTTTCATGCGCTGCCATTTGATTCTGCTGTCTCTTCTCAATTGTCAACTTGAAACCTAGAAGACAGGGCTGCACAAAGTGAACATTCTCGAGTCAACATTCTCGAGTCTCGAGGTGTTATTTTTTTGCGCTGCTGTTACCATTTTTTACAATGGTCTTGGGATCTGATTCAACAATTGTGTGTGGCCTTATGTTGCAAAACATGCAGCAAAACCATGCAGAACCGGCAGAACCAGAAATTTGTTCCTTCACACTTTGTTGCAGTCATGTTGCAATCGGCATTGTTTTTTGAGTTTGCCAGTTTGCTTTTGTTTGCCAGAATCTTGCGCGTCGAGGTTGGCGAATACGAACATGGTCTGAAGTCACTCGGGTGGCAATGTGAGAATGTGAGATCGTTACGAAAGATCGACACATCTGGAGCAAAACAAGAGAAAAGTGCAGCTGTGCAGCTCTGCGCAGAAATTCTGCTTTTCGAGGTCGGGCCGCGGAGATTTCACTTGGGCAGATGGGTCCAGCTATTCAGGACAAGTCGCTGAGCGAGCCGAGCCACGGAAAAACTTGTGACATTGTTTATCCATGTTTATCCTTTCATATCCTTTCCAGCTTGAATTCTTGGGCGCAAGAGTCACAGTTTGTTGCCCCGTTATTGTTGTTATTGTTGCTATGTCTGTTATGACTGTTGTCAACCCCTCCAACCACATAATTCTTGTGAAGTTAGCATGGCGTAGGACAATTTTTCGAGAACGTATCTTGCCTGCAGTGAGTTGATGGTTCCTTTACCGCCTTTGCTCATGTTTGATCGTTGTTTGATCGTTGTTTGATTGTTGTTTTTCAATGTTTTCACATCTGCCTTTCTGAAAGTCCTGCGTTGTCATAGCTGAGGACATACATGGATCAGGAAAGTATAGTTGGGAGGATGGTCGCGTCTACGAAGGTCAATGGGACAGGACCGTGGACAAGTTGCAGCACAAAACAGTTCCAGCGGCTTTCTTCCACTTTCCCAATGCTTTTGCACGTCGGAATTTTCTATTTGGCACATACCATCTGATCATTTTGATCAGTCAGGAATCGTATGCATGGCCATGGCAAGTTCAGATGGGCAGATGGCCGCGTCTACGAGGGTGGTTCCTTGTGCACAATAGAAACTTAGACTTGTAAGATCTTGTAAGATCTTGTAAGGTGTCATGTCAAACTGAGCAACTGATGTCCAGTTCTCGTGAAATCCGGTGACCAATGTTCTGCGGCACATTCTGCAGGTTATGTCAACGACTCCAAGGAAGGTCATGGCACCTTCAGCTGGCCAGATGGTCGTTCGTACCAGGGGCAATGGTCAGAAGGAAAACAGTCCCTTGATTCGGACTATGTCGAGCGGTATGTCGAGCGGTATGTCTTGGTTGCCTATTCCCTAAGGTGTGACTTGAACGTTTATGGCTGTGTTTTTCAACAGAAGCCCATTGACAACAACCCCCCGTTCACCAGCTACACCTGAAGCAAGACGAGTTGTGCCTTTGTCACACACAAAGGAAACAGAGGCATTGACATTTTTAGTGAATCGATAATCGGTACAATGTTACAATGCACATTGACGGTCTCTCATGTTCTAGGTGTTCAATGGTGTTCAAGAACGGAATTTTCAATGAGAAAGATGAAGTGACCCGTGTGACGATGTAGATTCAACGAGTTCAAAATGAGTCCAAAACAGTGCATGTAAAGTTCAGCCCTTCACTACTCTTCACTCTTCAACAAGGCAAAGACATTCAAAGACATTCAAAGACATTCAAAGACATTGACATAATTGACATTCGCACTCTGCGCATTCTGCGCACCAAGGCATGGTGAAGGCGTTTTTACAAACCAAAGAGGCGAGAAGAAAGGTGGAGAATGGGTGCACGGCAAGCGACAGGCATGACCGGCATGACTTGCCTGGACACAAAAGTGAGACCTCAGCTTGACTGGGCACTGAGTTTCTCAAATATGATACTGCAAGAGTTATTTCATGTTATTTCATCAGATGATTTTGCAGAACAAATTTACATGGCTTAAGACTGGTTAAGTGATTTTTGGACTATTTAGTAGGCTGTGTGCGCCGTGCGCAGATTCACAGCCACAAAAAAAGGGGTTTGACAGTTACCTGTGAAATCGTTGTGACAAGTCACACGACACGTGGCCATGCGGCATGCTGCACAACGCACCCCAAAGCGGGCTGCGTCAATTTCACATAATTTCACCATGCGACGCTTAGAGTCACCTTTGTGCCCGTCACAAAAATGCAGAGAATTTCAGGGGGCTGACAGATGCCGGTGCCAATTTGTATACCTAATACATCCTAATACCAGCCCGCAGAAGACAGAGGCTATTACCACAGCTGTGGTAACAGATGGTAGCAGGTAGTACTTGAAATGTCGGAATGGCAGATGGCAGTAAGACATGTTGAGGACAAGCCATGACAAGGCTCTAACAGGGCTCTGACAAGGCTCTGACAAGGTTCTTTGCATTTCTTTGCTTCAACTTGTTCCAACTCGCGATGCAGAAAGGTTCGCTTTTTGTTGATGCACGAAGTACCGTTGAGCACAGTTGCTGCCAGCTTGCTACACCCTGCACTCAGTAATTGTGGATTTACTCTATCCGAGGCCACCTTTAGAATCATATGAGTCACAACCAAAGCCCTCGATATTGATTTTTAGCAGAAATGTTCAACACAGCGTACGATCCCATATATTACAGTATATAATATGTGGATGCAATGAATGTAGACGCGCCATCCCAACATAGCAAAGCCACGGCGTGAGTTTGTTTGACGGCCGAACAACTCTAAGCTCAAAGGCAACACTTGGGTACCGGGCGAGACCAGGGGGCAAGTGCAAGCGCAGCAAGCGCAGCAAGCGCAGCAAGATCAGACAGTCAGCTGACAACGAGTGCCATGAGCCCCATGAGCCCCATGAGCGATGTGCAGATTGTGCAGATCGTGCAGATCGTGCAGCTCCGGCCGAGGCAGGCGACAGAGCGGCTCAACGTTCAGCCTGGAATGATGACTGAAGGATTAAAAGTATGTAGAGTCTATGTAGAGGATTTATATAGATTCATTTTTATGTATAGAAATGTTTAGAATGTAAGATTGAATGAGATGTGAGAAACCTAGAAGAATATCACTCCCAATGCGATGTTTGAGCGCACTTGCTCACAATGGTTAGGGCATGCGTTGCTGCGTTGCCTTTCTCGTTCGATGAGACTTGCCCAACACTGGTCCCATGTCCCGTCCCATGTCCCGTCCAATGTCCCGTCCCATGTCCCAACACTGAAAGGGCCACTTGGGCCAGAAGAGCTGGTCCTTCCGCAGAGCCGTCGCAAGAGCTATTCCAACCGCAGGGCTTGTGTCGGGCTTGTGTCTTCCGACCACTTGCTTCTCTACACATTCTCTACACATTCCAGCAGGTTTCTCATTGTTTTGTAGTTGAAGGGGTTGTACTGATGATCCATGGAACCCAACTTTTCCACAATGTGAGGAACGCTTTAAGTTGTGCTCTGGAGCTGGTGGGGTTGTTGTTCTTCTTCTGCTGTAGCAGCTCGTTGTCCTGTGACCTGTGTGTCTTGTCCCGAAAGCCAGCTTCTGCTAGCTGTAGTTGCTCTTGCTTGAGCAAGGTTTTGGTGTCTTCACAGTCATACTGTACCAACCTGTACCATATTCCCACCCCGTCAGTTGGAGGTTCAATTCGATTTTCCCAAGATCCTTTCCTGACTTGCCAGTTTTTGCCCGCTACACTGAAATGATGATGCTACCCATACTACCTCTTGGGTTATTCAGATGCCTAGCTTGTGCTTTGCTGGATTTGATATTGGGGTATTACCAGGGGCGCCTTGCAAGTGGTGCAAGGAGTTGATTATAGCAACACTGGCATACTCTCTTGGAACATTCTTGGGGCAATGGGCGGCACTTAATGAGCATGAGCTCCTGGCAGTGAAACACAACCTTCGTTTCTAGATTATTTGATGCTCTCTCGCCACATGGAAAAATGCAACACTGAAAAATAGCTCTACCCATTGGTCAGGGTGTGGATACTCGTGTTTAAAAGCCGTGGGATGTTTCAGCCAGAAATTCTTCCACCATTTGGCTGGAGAGACACTTGGTGCCATGTCCAGTCTGCAGCGATGCAGATAGCATGCGTACATCAGTGTACATCCTTATGCCAATCTACGGCTCTGCGAGCTGCATACAAAACCATCCCAACGAGCTTCCTTTTGTCCATTTCAGCTGCCTTCCCTCAGATACCCAAGCAGTTCTCAAGCTAGTTAACATTAGTTAACTAGTTCTTGTATGTTTTTGTCCCGTCCCCCTGGCCTGAAGTAACGCTGTCTGCAGACTCTCGTGCTCAGGGCGATGCTTTGGGCTTCTGACAGCCGTCAGCATTGCGTGACTTGCAGCCAAGTCATTCTACTTTTTCAGGAAAATAATTCGAAGTGATGGAATTTTCTACATGTAAAATTATGGTCAAATTTCTGTTCCAGGCGTTGTCATTCTTGGTACGGTACGAGTCAATATTCGAAGCACATCTCCCTCTGAACTTGCCCTTTAAATTCAAGGCGACTCCCAGAATTGACCCCTGTCAGCCCTGTCAGCATTTGCATTCTGTCCATTTCTGTCCACATGTTCTGAGAACATCTGAGAACACTAATGTCTTCATGTGTTTTCATGTAGTCGAGGTACCTCCTTGGTCTCTGGCAGGGCAGCACTTTCTGCAGAAAGATTGGAGACATTGGAGTTCCCGAGTTGCTTGGGCTCAAATGGATATCTCAAGTCACCTCAAATCTTGGAGATTGCCATCGAACTGCAAACGTGGAAAGCTTATGGAAATTGATTTGGAATAGAGGCATTGAAGCATTGAACAAACATGGTGTGACACACTCGTCCATCCCTCATCCGCTGTCTCCCGCGTATAATTAATCGCTTTGCATATGTGGCATACATCAAATTGAGTGTGGTTCTTTGTCAGGCCCTTTCTTTGCCACGGATTCTTTGCTGTTTCGCACGGGCTCGCCACCTTTTCCTTTTCAGCCTTTCCGTTCAACGGGACAAAATGCCGTTTCTTCATCTTGAAAAGGCACTTCGAACAGACAGATGGCACAAATGGCAAAGATCTCACAGACAGAGGCGAGACTCGGAGACAGTCGCTGTCGGTGTCAATTCTACTTTTGGTATCTTTTGGTTTCTTAAAATACGAGAGATGTGTCGATTTGTTAGGCACCTCAGAGCGATAAATTTTGCTTCGATTCTCAGCAAACGGGGGTCACACCAGGATTTTTCCCCAAACAGTGTGTCCACACTGAGGGGTTCTTACGGTAGGCGTAAAGGCCGGTGCTTGATCAGGGTGCTCACTCTGGACCCCGGTATTTTACTTGCAGATTTGTGTATAAAGTGGCTTGTGTGAAATCTTGACATGCGTTTCCACTGCACAGGCTTGCACAACATGTGTGTCCGCATTCTGGGCTCATTCTGGACCCCGGCATTTTACTTGCAGATTTGTGTATAAAGTGGCTTGTGTGAAATCTTGACATGCGTTTCCACTGCACAGGCTTGCACAACATGTGTGTCCGCATTCTGGGCTCATTCTGGACCCCGGCATTTTACTTGCAGATTTGTGTATAAAGTGGCTTGTGTGAAATCTTGACATGCGTTTCCACTGCACAGGCTTGCACAACATGTGTGTCCGCATTCTGGGCTCATTCTGGACCCCGGCATTTTACTTGCAGATTTGTGTATAAAGTGGCTTGTGTGAAATCTTGACATGCGTTTCCACTGCACAGGCTTGCACAACATGTGTGTCCGCATTCTGGGCTCATTCTGGACCCCGGCATTTTACTTGCAGATTTTTGTATAAAGTGGCTTGTGTGAAATCTTGACATGCGTTTCCACTGCACAGGCTTGCACAACATGTGTGTCCTCATTCTGGGCTCATTCTGGGGTGCGGCATTTTACTTGTAGATTTCCGTATAAAGGGGCTCTTGTGAAATCTTGACATGCGTTTCCACTGCGCAGGCTTGCACAAATGTGTGTCCGCATTCCGGGCTCATTCTGAGGCGCGGCATTTTTGCTGTAAACTTCCGCATACAGTGGCTCTTCTAAAATGCTGACATGCATTTCAACTGCGCAGGCTCGCACAAAGTGTGGTCCTAGGTTCTGGTCTGCGGCATTTTACTTGCAGATTTGTGTATAAAGGGGCTCTTGTGCAATGTTGACATGCGTTTCGACTGTGCAGGCTCACACAAAGTGTGGTCCTAGCTTCTGGGCCGCGGCTTCATCATCGGCTTCATCATCATCATCATCATCATCATCATCATCATCAGCATCTTCACTATCATTTCATTACCATCACCCCCCATCACTATCTTCACCATCACCATCACCATCATCATCATCATAATCATCATCATCATCATCATCACAATCATTATGCCGCTTATCATCATCATGGTCGTCATCATCATCATCATCATCATCATCATCATTTTCATCATCATCCGAATCATCATCATCGTCATCATCATCATCACCAACATCATCATTATCATTATCCCAATCATCATCGCCATCATCATCATCATCATGATCATTATTATTTGTCTTCCTCAACATTATCCTCCTCCTTCTCCACACCATCATTATCCACCTTTACCTCCTCCACTTTTTCTTCCGCATTGTCATCCTCATCATCACCATCATGATCAAGATCATGATCATCATCATCATCATCAGCATTATCATCATCAACCGCACCACCCTCATCGTCATCACCATCATCATGACTAGCACCATCATTATCCTCACCATAATCATCATCATCAACAACATCATCATCATCACCGTCACCAGCATCACCATGACCATGGCCATCATTATCTCCTCCTCCTCATCAT